AAATCTTAATGGGAATCCGAATCCTTTTAGGATTTTTATTACAACACTACGTAGTATCTATAAGCAAAAAAAATCGTTGAAATCAGAAGCGATCAGCTGAAGAGATTCCTTTGTAAGTGCTAGAGTCAATCAAAAAATCCAAACCAGATGAGTTTGGGTTTTGGTTGTCAAAGGCAAACTTCTTTCTAGATTTGTGGAGTGACAATTTTTTGATATAGTATATAATCAATGAGATAAGTTTGACGTATTGAAATTTTATTATTGGATTTGAGTGCATGTCTAGAGAAGATTAACACCCACACCCATATGCATTTATTGATCTGTTATATTTACCTTCATTTTTTTGCGTGCTTAACTTTCCTCGTACTTATCATTTCGATTCCCAAAAATTAAAGTTTAAAAAATGAAAATTTATGTTAAAGAAAAAAAATTTCATACTCGAATATTTTGTATTGTAGTTAAATTTGGTGACCGAAGAGCACCAATAATTTCCATAGCAAATGAAGATTCATTCTAAATAATATTTATTTACAATAGAAACTCATTTAAATATTTTTATTACATGTTGAATTGCTAATAGAGCTATCATAGCAGCTGTACGTGGATTTATATCTGCATCACGTTCAATTATTTTAGTTACCAATTCTTTAGCTTTTGCTAATGATTGTTTTGTATTCTAAATAATTGAAATCAAGGTTTTTTTTTTTATTATCATAAAGATGTTTTACTTGTCGATATAATGCTTCAACAACTAATATAACAGCATCTGTTGGATATGCTCGACCACTTGTAGTGGAAAAACCACGTTGCATTCCATATTCAAATATTTTAATAGCATCATCATAACGTTTATCTTCAACTAATTTATTTAAAAGGATAAGAGCTGATCCGGAATCATTAAATATGTTTTTCAAACTCTAATAAACATTGACGTATAAAAAAAAACCTTAAGCCAAGATAATAATAAAAAATACTTACTTCATCCATAAAAAGTTTCATAGCTAAATCTGGTTTATTTCGAATATATAATAAACGCATAATAGGTGAACCAAAATGATACTCAGTAAATTTAAGTTTGTTAGAATTATATCTTAATAAGAATAAATTTCAACAAAAAGAAACTTTTGAGAATTTATTTTTGTCTTTTTTTTTCATACTTTCTTAATGCTTGAATAACAGCATCAATTTCTTCATCACTATCAGCTGACATAATCATGTTACGTAAATCTTCTGTGAATATTTGTGCATCAGGTTTATTAACAGAATCAAGAAAACGTTTTTTGAAACCATCTTACATTAAAAAATTATATTAAATAAAAAACAGTGAAAACAATAGATCTTTACCAATGGACGGAGAATGATGTGAAACATATTGTTCACGAGCCAATTTAAAATTATCAAGACCAATCGCAGAACTTGAGAATATTGTACGAACATGAACAGGTAATACTGTTCGTAGAGTTCTACTTGATGTACCTAAAATAAAACAAAAAAAAATAACAAATGTCTAGTGGAAATGTTTACACAAGCAGAAATAGCAAAAGCACTTTGTTTCCTAGGAAGTTTCATCAATATTGAATAATACAGTGTGTCCTAAAAGTCAAATGGAATAATGACCATGAATAAGAGTTAACGTCGACTGAGATGATTTTTTAACTGTTACAAAATTCATTCCTAGCTAATTTTTGAAGAGATATTAATAAGATATTTTATTAATTAAATGATCATCTGACATTTACTTTATTGAAAGAAATATGAGCTATAACACACAAGAACATTACATGAAAAATAATTGATTACTTAATAGTATGTTTTATTTTCACACATTCTCCACACTTGTTTGCAAGTTCCATATGAGTAAGATTACTATCTACATATTCTTTAAGATGAAATCCAAGCAGGGTGCTAAAAGGAACTATTCATTAAAAACAAAAAAAAATCTTTCCAAAGAATCAAAGTCAAATGAAAGATGAACATGTCCCGTTTTGCCTGAAACGACCCATATATATGATAATTTTATACATTAACTCTTCTGAAATCTTGTTCGAGGGAAGTAAAGGGTTAATCTTATCAACTGGAGAAAATAAAAAAAAACAAACAATCAAGTCTATAAATAAGCAACAACTTTCGGCGATTATTTGAAAGTTTAATAATGGTAAAATCAACTTACGATTGATTGCTAAAATAGTACATGAAGTAACTGTTCGAATAATATGAGACATCTAAAATGAAAAAGAACAAGTACAGAAATGATCTAATCCTTGTTTTTTATTTATACAATAGTTGAAAGACAAAAAAAAAAGAATTATTAACGATTTTTTTTAATAATATTTATCAAAAATTTAATATCGTTTATTAATGTCCAAGCTAATGGTGCGCCCATAGGTAAATATAATGGAACATATATAGCAAATTTTTGATCATCTGGAAAGTAAAGTAATTTAAGTAATGATGGATCAAAAAAAACTTGATCAGCAAGTAAACGTCCTTGTTGACAATCATTATGTTGATTATTATCTTGACATTTTTCTAATAAATCAAGTGAATTATGAATTTTTTTTGCCATACTATCATCAATAACAATATTAGGAATTGAAAGAAGTAATTGTGATAAAGTTAATAATGTTTGTCGACCATTATTATAATTTTCAATAGTACGTAAATAAATCCATTTTTCAAATGTTTCAATACCTAATAAATGATTAAAATGATTAAGAAATTGTTTCATTATTAAATTTAAATCATTTAATTCATTATTAGAATTATATTTATTATAAAATATCACACTACCCCATTTAGGTACAATAATTGAATTTTGTTCGTTTTTATCAACTGTTATTGGTGTTTGTTTTTCATCAGGTATAAATAAAATAAAAAAAATTTTTTCTTTATAATGTTTTGTTGAATGATGTAATAAATATTCAAGTTTATTAATAAAAAATGGTATTTGTTTTTTTTCTAAATTATGTATTGTTTCAGTAGGTAAAATTCCACGTGTAGTAAAAATTATTTCAGTTGATATATCAATATTAATATAATTTGAATATGTATTTATTAAATAAGGTACTATTGTTGATGAAATTATTTCTTCATATTTTGTTTTATTTAAACTATAATTTTCATCATTATTATTTATTAAATAGAATAATATTTCATATGATGATGCTGTTTGAAATGATGTTAAATTTGT